TAATGTTACTTGTCGCCTCACAATTAAATAGTTGAACATCACCTTGATTAGTATAATTCAACTGCCATGTACTGTTTGATTAAGTCTTCTGGTGTTAGTGATCATTTCAGAATGAAGTAATCGAACAAGACGTTTATGTTGCTAATTCTTATACTATGCACTCTGTGAACACGTCTGCTTACGTTAGCGTCTTGTTCACAAAAGAAATAATTGAACACCATTTTGGTTAGAATAATTCATGTGCCATGCACGGTGTGATTATGTCTTCTCATGTTGGTGATTCTTTCACAATGAAAGAATTGAACAGCACTGTGTTTAGGATAATTCATATTTCATGCGCTGTTTGGTTTTGTCCTCTAATGTTAGCGATCGCTTCACAATGAAATCATTGAACACTATCTTGCTTAGGATATTTCACCTGGTATGCATTGTTTGATAGTGTCTTCTAATGGTAGTGACCACCTTACTATGAAATAATTGAACATAATCTTTATTAGTATTGTTCATATTCTATGTGTTGTTTCAATACGTCTTCTAATGGTCACGGTCACTTTGGAGTAAAACAATTGGACGCCGTCTTCGTTAGTATAAATCATATGCCATGCGTTGTTTGATCACGTCTCTTGATACTAGCGGTCGCTTCAGAATGAAGTAATGGAACATCATCTTGATTAGTATAATTCATATGCTATGCGCTGCTTTGTTGTGCTTTCTGAGGCTAGCATTCGCCTCACAATGAAATAATCAAACACCACCTTGGTTAGGATAAGTCATATACCATCTACTGTTCGATCATGTTTTCTGATGTTGGCGATCACCTCACAATGCAGTAATTGAACATCTCATTAATAAGTATAATTCATGTGCCATGTAGTGTTTGATAATGTTTTCTCATGTGAGCGCTCGCTTCATAACGAAATAATCGAGCAGGACATTTTTTATTATAATTCATATGCCATGCACTGTTAAACTTTGAGTGGCATAGTCATCGATGGCTAAAGAGTAAAATAGTCGAATAGAACTTTAATTATAATAATTCATGGACCATGTACTGTTCAAACTTCTGTTCTGCTATCTTTGATTGTTTAAGACTATAATGATTGAATAGAGCCTTGCTTGGGATAATTCATATGCGATGCGCGGTGCAACCTTGTACTCTGCTGCCATCGATTCCCAGAGAGTAAAATAATTGAGTAAGATGTTCTTTAGGATAATTCATATACCATTCACTCTTCAGCCTTGTATTTTATCATCATGTGCTGCTAGAGGGTAAAATAATTGGACATGACCTTCCTTGGGTTGATTCATTTGTAGTAGGATCCTCTAACACTATGCTTGTAGCTAAATTTTGGTTGAGATATGCGCAGAAATGAATAAGTTTATTGTTATTACTATGTGTTTCTTGCGTATATCTTCATTGTGAAGCGTATCATTATTTCTTGATGCAATGGGAACTATATATATGAGCAGAGTGCTGAGGCTTAGAATGATTCACTTGTTTACTGATAATTAGTGGCATGATGTAGGAGTGTATTTGACTTTGAGCTATTCGGTATATTTGAACAAAGCTATCCTTATAGTTTGGAGGATTCATCAGCCGAGTGATCTAGTGCTACGTGAGGGACTTTCCTACTGCATTCTCGATGAGTTACATAGTTTAAAACACCTGTGCTCAAAACTAGTCGCTGGTGGTGCATTCATTATTCGAGGGTATATGATGTATGAGGGCTTTTTGTGAGGAAACCTTTCGAATCGATATTTTCTTAAAAATGTTCGTCTACTAAATAAGTTGATGGATTCGAGTTACATATGAGCATTGTTTATAAGTGATTGATATACTTGAATAAAATTATTTTTCGGCTTATTCGTTTTTGCAATAGCGTATTTCCTCATATCAACGACAGAAATTTTGCTTCACGCTTGATGATATAAATGAAAGAACAGATTGTTGCTTCTGTTCGTTTATCATCATGAAATTGGTAGTTAGATCACCAGGTTTAGTTTTAATTCAAAGTACTGTGTATGTATTGAACAGGATGCTTGTTAAGAATATTCAGTTTCCGGATCATTTAGAACCACATAATACTGTCCATGGATTAATTCAAAGTAAATATGAAGTTTGAACAGAAAATTTGCTGTGGAAATCCATGCGATATGTAATCAATGATGTACTGTGATGTTAAAGATTGATAATTACGTTTACAACGCACGTGAACATATTTTTCGCGTTGAACACTTCACAAATTGTACGAGACGTTCGTCAAGTGACTTTGAACATTCTACACTCTCATTTTATTTTCTCATTTACTCTCACAAAACTTATTTTTTTCATAAACTTTTGATGTGATATGAATGTAGCCTAGTTTTGAAGAGTGTTTGTGTCTTTTGAAATTCTGTAAAGGTGTTTAAGTGTCTGAAAGTCAAGTGTATCACAAACTCTAATTGAGCTAAGACTACTTTCATACAACATTACATATTTACAAGATAAAATTTTTTAATCAGAAACACAAAATTTAGATTAGATCACTAATCAATTGTGATGATTTTATTAATAACAAGCTTTCCTGTTCTTAATTTTGTCGTTCATCTTTTTCTCTCTCTATTTTGCCAAAATAAATATCATATCTTTTCTTTTGTCTTTCACAAGTCTTATTTTTAATATTTGATCATTGTGTCATGTTCTTCAGCATTCTTAATAAATATATTATTTCAAAATACAACAAACATGTGCGAATTTATCGAAGTAGAACTCTGAAAAATCTTGATGTCATGCGTCTTATTGATCTCACGAAGAGTGATATCACTACATCCTATACGTAAGAAAAAGCGATTTTATGTTTTATTTTATCTGATGGTGAATAGTAGAACACGGCGAAAGTTATGCGAAAATATTGTTCTTTGTTCTTAAAATCTTAGCTAAAAAAATAAATAATTCTAAGCTTCATGCAACGCAAAATATGATACTTCAATGCTTGGAGTTGCTTTACCGTACTTTAAGATGCCTTACCTTACTTTTAGTATACATGTCAAATCTGAATGTTGAATTTAACTATGCAATTATTGAATAATTAAAGTAAAGATATGTGGTGTGGATGTGGTTGAAGAGAGCACTTGCATCCACACCTTTTTTTTCTACCATGGTCATTTATATCAAATCTTAACTAAGTTTGTTGATAAAATCCATCCGCTGTGAGCCAATATAGAACAGTAGAGAGTGCACAATGTGTCAATGTGTTAATGATTTATCAAAATTATATTTCTTAATAGAATTTATTTGATTTGGATTTATTTATTAGAGAGGGCAGGTGGGTGTTAATCTTCCATTCATTCATACCCATATCCACACTCACACCCAGTCCCACAGAATAATGCGTTGGTCAAGAGGTGCTACACAAGGAACTGCCATCATCGGTGGAAATGATAAAGGAAGTCAATCGAATCAATTTTCGATCCCATCCAGTTTATCAATTGATCGAGAGAGTAATCTCTATGTAAGTGATAATGGAAATCATCGAGTACAAAAGTTCAACATCAATCGAAGTTGATGATGTTATATAATTTATATTACTTTATCTTTTTCATCATAGTCTTGAACAAATAATCGAAAAATTAAATGTTCTCAAATAGAATTATCTTGTATCGACTCGTATATGATCATAAATCACATAAAAGATGATCTTTTTCCGTCAAGCTCTATCAAAGAATTGTATTTTGATTATTTTGACATTACCCTCATGTTCCCTTGTGTTATCGCGTTATAATATTTTATTTTCATCATTAGCAAATCGATGATTTTTGAAGTTCTCCAGCGAAAATAGATAAATGTCACAGATCATTTGACTTTTGACCGATCGAACAAATAAAGTTGTTCATACGTAGCGACCAATTATCTGGATTTAGAATAATGAATTGCATAGTGTCACAGTAATAAAATGACCGACGAAAGAGAACTATGTTTCTTCGAAATGTTGACTTATAAGAAATCAGAGCAAAGATCATATGCTTGCAATTATTATTGTGAATGTGGAAAACAATGAAAAATGTTCGCTACCAAATCAAATGTCTGATTACATTGTGACTGGATTTACGATTGTTAGTCAGATACCTTTAACGTGTTGACTGGACACTTGGATAAGGATTGATCGAGATTGAGACGATGACTCATGTCTCAATTGATGAACAATATTGAACGATTATTGAAGTATTCAAACAGATCATTTATTTGAATAAATCCATTAATCACAGTTATCCGTTCCCCACTACGAAGAGAGACAACTCTTTGAAGATCTGATTACACGATTAAGACTGATGTTAAATATCTGAATCAGAACAACATCTTACCAGGTTATTGTTCTATTTGTAGATTTTCTATAGAACATGATTATTAATGATAGAGAGATGGAATAAAATTTATCGCTTTCGCATTTCTTTCTCATGAACTATCGAAGAACATTGTTTGATTGGTAATCAAACCATAATGTGACTTGCAATTTGCTTTAATGATAAAATATGGTTTTTTTAAAATTCTGTCTTCATTTTCTTAAAAAAAACTTAACATGATATTTCATTACTACTGTTGTTCACGTGAAAAGATAATCATTAAGACTTAAAAAAAATCTTTCTTATTTTCTTTTTTTGATAAATTTTATCCTTTCAATGTAACAAATTTTTCTTGTATTCATGATTTTAATATTTTAAAATGATGAATTTCATTTCTTTCAAATCATGTTTAATCACATGTTAAGTATTTTGAATAAATCAATAAATTAAAGTTTAAATTATCGTTAACATTTATTTATTTTTAAAGATAAGTTTCTGAAATTTTCAATCCTTTAATAATGAACTGAAAATGTTTAAATAATACCTGAATGTTGAAATTAAAAAAAGACTCTTCGATACAAAATAACAAAAATGAATTTTATTCGACTTGGTTTTTATGGTTCGATAAATTATTCAACATTATAAAATACATTAAAAACAATGTTTATTTCGTAAAATTATCAATTGTGCTCTATGTTGAATTTTTGTACTCGATTATTTTCTTGATCGCACACATAGAGATTGCCCTCTCGATCAAATGACAAACCGACAGGGAGGAATAGTTGATTTAATTGACTTTCTTGACTATTTCTACCAATGATAGCATTACCTTGTGTGGCTCCTTGAGACCAACGCATGATTCGATCATTCGAACAATCAGCCACATAAAGAGTACCTGATTGATCCACGATGATTCCCTCAGGATTTGATAATTGTGAAAGATTATTTCCTCGACCTTGACCACCAGCTACAACAATACCTTGTTTCTTACCTTCCATCCATTTCATTACACGATGATTATTGTAATCGGATACATACACTGAGTGATCTCGATCAACAAATATGTATGTGGGACCAGACAACTGATCAAGACGATTTCCTTGTCCATTTCCACCTGCAACCACTGTTCCTTGATTTTCTCCTATTCGATATCGTCTAACTTCATGTTCATCGAGGTCAACAATATAGAGATATCCATCCTCATCCATTGTCAATCCGTAACATCCAACATTGGAAATGATTGTTTCTCCATGTGTACTATTTTGACGAGGCCATCGAACTACTCTTTTATTATTGTAATCGCAAATGATAAGACTATTTCTTTCTTTATCAATAATCACATCCGTTGGATAATTCAATTGATTAGCATGGTTTCCTTTCCCATTTCCACCGGCAACAACTCGACCAGTTCTTGCACCATATTTCCATTCCACAATACGATGATTCCAACAGTCAGCAATGTAGACAGTTCGATCATCATCAACACACAAACCAAATGGATTGCATAGTTGATTCATTAAAATACCTTCTCTATTTCCTCCAGCTATAGAAACTCCATTTTGTATCCATTTAGCATTTGCATTGATATAAGCACTGCGTAAAAGTGTTGCTGAAATAAAACACAGTCTCCTGCATTTACATTGGATCCATTTACATCGATGAAAATTAATACTCAAAGTAAAGAATTTTGATTTAGAAAGAAAATCAGACAAAACAAGAACTTCGATACTCAATGATTAAATCAAAAAAATCTCAAACTTAGGCGCGTTGTTTTGATATTTTGAATGAAGAAAAATGGAATTTATTATATAAAATGATGATTAACTTGTGAATGTTCGAACTTTTGACATTATCTCATCATTGTCCAAAGCCTTTTTTATGTTTCAAAAGTATTTTCACTAGAAAACTTCTTAGACGATAATGAAAACCAACAAAGAAAGCTTAACAATGAGGTTTTGATCAAATAAATAATTTTAGATGATGAATATGTTTATTAATTTTTGATAGCAACCGTTTTAATCGAACTTTTCTCTTAAAAATTTCTTTTTCATAAAATAGAAATCAACTTATTCTAATGAATAGAATATGAGAAATGGAATTTCTTTTAAGATTTACCTCAACAATTTCTCATTGAGGAAATAAGAAATGTTTTTTTTTTAATAATAAACAGTTAAAATTAACGAAATACTCAATGAACTTTCATTCAAATTGATTTTAATAGAAAAAAAATAACCTAATCGAAATGAAAATTTCCATTTGTAAGAAAATAGTTGACAAAAAAATTTGAGAACTTTTTTCTCATTATTCACAATTTTAAAGGTGAAAAAACAAAAATTTAAAAAAACTTGACACGAGTGTTGACTGTCAAGAAAAGTCAAAATGGAGTATTTATTTGATTTTCGTCAAATATCAAGAGAGAACGAAAAGAATCAAATTTCGCTTTTCTTACAATTATCGTTGAAAAGAAAAACTTTTCCATTTTTATTGTCCTAGTTTTATTCAATTTATTCGGAGTATTTCAAAGAAAGAAAAACATTACTTTTTATTTTGTTTATTCGATTCTGAAAAATATTTTATCAACCATGTTTAACCTTTTGGCTGTCGCCGACGCATATATGCGTTAAGAGGCTCCTCTTCGCAAAAACTAAAGCAACTATTCATAATGTATGTTTTTCAAAAGTATTTGCGTAAAAACAAACCTTAGGTATCATGCGCTTCCCAAATCATCATTTTATTAAGGCACGCTATAGGATTGTTCCATAAAGAAGAAGTAAATTTTCGGAAAAATCGTTTCTTCCTTTTCTTATGTCGATACAGCCAAAGGATTAAGATCGAAACTCATTGTTTTAGTTTGATAAATGTTAATATGCGATTTATCTGTTTTGTTGAAATTTTTTTTCAAATACGAATAAACTTTAAATCATCAAAATTAAAAAGAAAATAATTTCTCTCGATCAATTCAAAACACATTTATGAAGAATAATTAACAATTTTAACTTGTCTTGTTTTTATGTAATAATTCAAAAAATTGTCATACAATGCTTGACAATCAGAAAAGATTCTTTTTATGACGGGGAAGCGTAAACAATTCAATTTGGACTACTAATCGTTTATAAACAGTTCATTAATAATTCGATGCAGAAAAACAAGATGAAGTTTTTGGAATTAATTTCAACGAAAACTTTGGACATCTGGAGTCACTTTCCTTGTCAAAAAATATTAAACCATGATAGGGTCTTCAGTGAGTTCTCAGTATATTTGTATCTGACCAGTATTTGACTAGAATGTACAACTTCTTGAAAATCTTGCAAGCTCAATTTATCTTGATTAAATAGAACCTTCAGTTCTGAATCATTTCATATAATAACTAGATTATTATTTTTACGAATCTTTGATAACAACAGTCAGAGTACTCTGCTCTACTTTTCCATTAAACATGATTATATAACATGCCATCGATCATCAATTTGACTCATTTGAAATGTTTTTTCATGCGACTCACTTTCTATTAGATACCATTTGATAGAGAAAAGTAAGGAATACAAAATGATGTATAATTTATTTGATTTCGACTTGGTCCAATACATCAAATGTGTATTGCAATAGTCGAATAGTAACAAAAAGTTCACTTATTTAGCAAACTTTGAGTCGATTTCTTAACACTCAACCGATCTTTGACAAAAAAGCATGACATACTTGAAATCAGCATCAAATACTGAGTCGATTCATATATATTTTTAAAAATATTCTGATAAGTTTTATTTTCTGAGAGAAGAATATATGCTATATAAATGAATACTACTCCGATTTAAAAATAATTTAACTCATTTATATTAACATTTATTTCAACACGAACATATTTATTATCAAGTAAAATTGATAAGATCTTATTTTTATTCATTCATTGGAGAAATTCGAGAAAACACAATAAAAAGTAAAAATATGTTTAAATCGTCTAATTTGTTTATCTTGATTAAATTTTGAGCTCTATATGTTTATGTCTGTTTTACTCACTTTATAAGTGTTAAATATTGTTTTTATTTTTCATTTGATTTCTTTTTTGAAAACATGTGTTAAGATTTATCGATATGATTATTCTAAATAATTTTTGTATAAAAAGGGCATCTTTAGTATTTAACATCGTATTTCATGTAGAGATAAGCGTTTTTTTTGTATTCTTGTCCCAAATACAATGAAAATATGATCTCAGTGATCGAATGTAGAAGAGCTTTGTGTCCTGCAAGATGTATTCTGTGAAGATAAATTTTTCAATGTTTTGTAGAAAATAGAGTATGAATTCTTCTTTGATGTTTTCTGATTAAAAATAAAATATTCGCAACTTAAATAGATTTTTATTTTGTATGAAAATATTTTAAACTTGATCGAAATTATAATTTTAAATAAGATTTTATTGAATTATTTTGAATATAATCTATGAATAAAATTACTTTAGATGAAATAAATCAAAAAAGAAAAACATAAATTAAGATTAATAATCAAAAAGCATTCTCTCTTTTCTTTTATGTATAATAAATTAAATATACTCACAGTTTAGTTGTTCTTCTCGTATATATATAATTTTATTCCAATCAATTTGATCATTATCAACAATAATTGTTTTAGTTTTATCTTTTCGAATAAATATTTTCAATGTTTTTTGTAATTGATTAATTTTTAGATTAAGTTGATCAATATCATTTTCAAGAAAATTTTCTTCTTCTCGACGATAACGAATTTCTTTTGTAATTGTTTCAAGTTCTTTTATTATTTGTATTTTTTGTTTATCAATTAATTCAATAAGATTATGTCGAGCTTTTTCTGCTGCTTTTTCAACTTTTTTAATTGTTATTTTTTTCCATTGTTCAATTTGATTAAAAAGATTTGATGATAAATAATTTGATTTTTCTAATTTTTGTATTTGATCCAGAAGTTCATCATGAGATCTTATGACTTCATAATCAAACTTTATTGATAATTGTTGTTCATGTTCTTTTAAATCTTTCAGACAAAAATATTTTTTACATCCAACACAAAAATATTTAGCTGAAGATTTATTACACATTGAACATATATTTGATTCATTGACTGTTGCCATTTATTTTAGAAGAAAATTTATTAGAAGAATATCTCCAATAAATTCTATCTAAAAATAAACTAGATGAGCTATGCATAATATTTGTTTTATAAATAGGTGTACCATACTCACACCCTGGTTTAAACGAGTATCTTTGTGAATCCATTGAAGTTAAAGCAACTAGAGCAAAAACCTTTTTTGGACTATGGAATGTTTCATTCACTATCCATACGCATTTGGTTATGATACAAACTCGATTAGAGTTCAAAAGGAGCATCTACTGCTTTCACCAAATAAGGAAACTTATCAAAACGACTGTATATGATCGTATGTTTCAAGAAGGATCCGAAGAGCGTTCGGACTGATGGAGCTTCCTTCGAAAAGGTTATAGTCATTTTACTGATTTTTCACCTAGCACAAGATGTATAGCCAAAAATTGAACAACAGAAGTTCAATCTGAAATTTTTTTTTAATACGTAGTTCTTCTGATCATTACAACGGCCTAGAAGTCTCAGCGAAAAAAATATTTCCTTTTCGAGATATTGAATTTTTCCGAACTTTTAAGATTGTGAAACAACTTTTTAAGAATCAATATCTACAAAAAGGAAACATTTTTTTACACTGAAATTGTTAGGGTATTATAACAACCAGAAGAACTACATATGAAAAAATTTCAATATGAAATTTTGTTGTTCAATTTTTCTCTATACGCCTTGTACTAGGTGAAAAAATCAGCATATGCGCAAAATATCATTGAAAACGCCATAGATCAGTTGGAAAACTTCCCTCGTGAATACTTTGTCATTATTAGCCGCCGAGAAAGAGATATTATCGTTAATTATGAAAAGATCATTGAAGTTTTCTCAAATCAGCATAAGAATAGTCGAATACTGTTGAAATGATTTGTTTGTGTTTATTTTGGTTGGTTTCCGTTTTTTGTTAATTTAGTTTCATTCAATAAAATAACAGATAAATTACGTATTTTGTGTCACTCATCAAGAACTAGACAATATAGAAACTTGATTTATACTGAAGAATAACTTTAAACGCAAGTGGAGAAAGTTTTTAAGGATGGTGGGCACTGCTATCTCATCTATGATTTCCTGGATACGCCACTAGTTTTATCGCGTTTGGTTTATCGTACTGTTGATGATAAAAATATGCGTTCGATTTTTTTTCCTACCAAGAACAATGATTTTTTTGATAAATTTCGTACAAAAAAAAACCTAGAAATCCGTTTGTATTTCTCCATTTTATTCATCAATACTAAAGTTTCATATCATAAGAGAATCAAACTTGGAATTAGCGTACAAAACTGCGTTCACTCATGTTTACTGTTTTTGGTTCGCCTTGATTTGAGTTTTTTTCCAGCTTCGCCCGGAAGTGATGGGTGTTATAAAGATAAAGTTAACTCACATCTACACCTTCACATCCTTTAGACGAAAGAATCAGATTACTATGAGAATAATCTTCAGTTTCATCATCGTCAAAATCGATTCATTCTTCGGCCTCAGTCATATTGAAAATGAACTCTAGAAGTATCTTTGATCTTACTTTTATTAGCCGAATTTCGCGATGGACCTTGAAACGATTGAACTACTAAATCTCGAAAAACTTAATAGAAGATCAGAAGCTTAAAGAGAGAGGACAGAAGAGTTGTTGATGAAACACTACAAGTGATGCTGAAGGATGAATTTCGTCATTAAAATATGAAATCTAATAAACAAAGAAGTGAAAAATAAGATCGAAATTATCAATCTTTTCGTTCCTTTGCAGAAAAATGCTGCATTGATCTAATATTCATAGTTTTAGTATAGGTATCTCAGTTGAATGTATTTCTTAGATACCGAACAGAACAGAACTCTGAGAAGTAAGTTCACAGATTTTATGTTTCACAATATATTAATAAGTTTTGTGGACAGTTTAGAATTGAGCTTCTTGAAAACCTATGTACCACATGTAATCACTATAGTGAATTTTCAGTTTTTGGAGTGCATTATACCTATCAATTAAGACCTAGGTTTTTAACTTTATTCCTTCAGGAGTTACGAGCATTTTACTCTAAGCTTCTAGCCAATGTTCAGAAAAAAAAAATAGGAGAAAAATTGACTTTTTCGTTGTATTTTCATGCAATTTGCTTTACAAATCCATATTAGTAGCTCAACGTCTTTGAAAAAGAATTAATAGAAAACCTAGATTAACATCAGAGAAAAATTTACCTTATGTGATACAATGCATCATTATTTTTCTTCAACGCGAAAACTACAGCTATCCATCGTGTCGTTACGAAAAATTTTTGAAAAATATTCATGATTCTTCCTTTATGAAATGAATAATATAGTATCAGTTGGATTTTTCCCACTTCACATATCATGAACAGAATGATTTACGACAAATCTGAAAGTTGGTAATTTATCTAAGTGTTTATTGTCCATCATTTATGTTATATCATGAATAGATTGTTGGTTGAAAAACAAAGCGGACTTGATGACAATATGACGTATATACGTAAAGAGTAAAGAAAGCTTGCGCAAAGGAAAAACTCAACCAAGCATTACTTCAGCAGCTCCCACTTTTATTTATCGTACATGACTTTATCTAATGCATGTGTTTCATGTAGACGAGTAAGCAATTTTTTATGAGTCATATATTTGCACGACAAAAAAGGAAGTGTTACGGAAGATTGATTCCTTATTAAAAAGTATCATCATACTTTTCAAAGAGAATATGTATACAAAAATTAAAGTCATTGTTCAATAGCAAGTCAGCATAGCGATTTTTGAAACAAAGAATTGATCTTTTTTATTCGTTTTCACTGTCCTCTCCTAGTCTGTTTAGTTCAATACTTCTGTGGAGACTACTTTCACACTATCGCTATTTATCTATTCAACATACGCAGGGTGTGGGTGGAGTGGATGTGGATGTGGGTTGAGGCTTAATCTTCTCTAGACACAAACTTACACCGTATCATTTCGAGTTTCATTTTTAATCATTGTGAATCGATATTGATTGCACAATTCGAAATATTTAATCAAGTACACAACAATTTTATATTTCAATGTCAAATAGCAATCAAAAAACAATTGTCTTTCTTTTCTTTTTTAAACATTTTTGAAATTGTAAAATTGATTATTTTTATACTATTTTTTTATTGTCGATAACATATTTGCAAAAGCACAATTTTTTTCTATTTAAACAATAATCGAGTTAGATATTTTTTTATTTGCATATTTCATATCGATCTTTGTATTACAAAAATTGAGTTTTTCAACGATTAGTCGTCATGTTTAGTCAAGAGTGGATTATTGTTATAAAAAAAATTCATTAGAAGTCAAATAATCAATAAAACATTTTCAATCCATTTTGATATAAAGTCTTTCTCTTAGTCTTGATCGATTTTTTACTATTTGTTTGTTGAAAATCTGTTAAACATTTAAATGATTATCAAATAAAAGAAATCGTTGCTTAAATCATAATGTGACTAGAAATTTGATATAAAGATATAATGTCAATTTTTTCGACAAATAATTCACCGTGATGTTTCTTTATTATTGCTTTTTCATATGAAAAATAATTATAGAGGATCAAAAAGAGTCTTATTGTTATCTTTTTGGTAAATTTCAACGCTTCAGTGTGAGAAATTTTTCTTTTATTGATTATTTTCATCATTTTAATATAATGAGTTTCACTTCTTTAAAATCATTTGTAGCTATATATCGAAAATTTTGAATTGTTCAATGCATTAGAGTTTAAATCATCGTTGACATTTGTTTAGTTTAAAGATAAATTTCGAAATATCTCAATTCTTTATTTATGAACAGAAAATATTTTCATTATATGACAATATAAAATATTCAAATTTAAAAAAAACATCTTTGATACAAATATGACAAAAACCAGTTTATTCGGCTTGTTTTTTATGATTGAATGAATTTATTCAAGATCATTATGAAAAACATTAAAAACAATGTTCATTTTCTATAATGATCAACTTTGGTTAATGTTGAACTTTTGCACTCGATTATTTCCAAATTCGCACACATAGAGATTACCCTCTCGATCAAATTGCAAACCAATTGGAACAGAGAGTTGATTCAATTGACATCCTTGACCATTTTCGCCAATGATCACATTACCTTGTGTGGCTCCTTGAGACCAACACATAATTCGATCATTCGAACGATCAGCCACATAAAGAGTACCTGATTGATCCACAATAATTCCATAAGTATGTGATAATTGTGAAAGACTATTTCCTTGTCCTTGACCACCAGCTACAACAATACCTTGTTTCTTACCTTCCATCCATTTCATTACACGATGATTATCGTAATCTGATACAAACACTGAATGATCTTGATCGACGAATATGTATGTAGGACTAGACAACTGATCAAGACGATTTCCTTGTCCATTTCCACCTGCAACCACTGTTTCTTGGTTTTCTTCCATTCGGTATCGCCTAACCTCATGTTTATCTTTATCGACAATATACAGAAATTCATCATCATCCATCGTCAATCCCAAACATCCAATATTTGAGATGATTGTTTCTCCATGTGTACTATTTTGAAGAGGCCATCGAACAACTCTTTTATTATTGTAATCGCAAATGATAAGACTATTTCTCTTCTTATCAATAATTACATCTGCTGGATAATTCAACTGATTCGAATGGTTTCCTTGTCCATTTCCACCAGCAACAACTCGACCAGTTGTTGCGCCAGGTTTCCATTCCATAATACGATGATTCCAACAGTCAGCAATATAGACAGTTTGATCATTATCAATACACAAACCATGAGGAGAGGCAAGTTGATTCAATGCGTTACCTTGTCCATTTCCTCCAGCTATAGTGATTCCATTTTGTATCCATTTCGCATTTGTATTAACATTAGCATCACGTAAAAGTGTTGCTAAAACAAAACACAATCTCGTTCATTTTCATTGGATTAATTGACATCGATAAAAATTTGTATTTAAACTAAAGAATTTTCTTGTTGAAGCGATAGAAATAACAAAAAATTGATTCTTAGTGATTAAACCAAACAAATTTTCATTATTAATATCATCGTTTTGATATTTTGCCTGAAGAAAAACGAGAATCGTTCTCATAAATGATGATCAACTTTTGCATGTTCGAATTTGTGTTTCGATTTCATCCCCATAGCTCTGTGTGGAGTCATCATCGAAGTCAACTAAATCTTTGGCAAAAAAATTAAGTTGACTTTGATAACAGCCCCGAAATCGACTTCATGTGGGACTCTCCTATTCGATTGTGAAAAATGTTATTTCGATAAATGTTAATATTCAATTTATTTTTTTTTTATTGAAATCCTTTAACATAGAAATAAACTTTAAATCATCAAAATTAAAACAAAAATTATTTCTCTCGAACAATGCGAAAAGTATTTATGAATTAACAATTTAGACTTGTTTTTCATATAAAAATTCAGCAAACTATCATACAAATATTGGATAGTTCGATAAGAGTGTTTAAATTTGAGCTCATATCTTTTATATTTCATTCAAAGTTCAACCTATTGTGTAGATTTTCACTCTTAAAATGACGTATTTCATATTGTTTTGAAAAGTTATTTATCTAAACATACGAAACGAAAAATATCTCATTAAGATGAAATCAGATCAAAAGTGAGATAAACAAAAGATGTCAAAAATATATCTTATGTTTAGACTTTTGACGAATTTTATTTTTCGAATGATTGCATTCCAAAACATTTTCATCTCAAAGAGAAATTCAAATACTGACTTAATCAAATTTACTCTTTGATACAGATAAATAGAATTTTTCAATATTTTCTCTGAAAATTTGTTCCTTAAGATGATATTGATCATTGCTCTAGCTATTCGGTTGAATATTTTATTCAACATTGAACATATCAAGAGAAAAGCTTGTTGTTCGTTGTTTTTCTTTTCATCTCAATAAAGCTTTACAATGAACTTTTTTTTTTAACTTGAGAAGTTTTCTGATGAAATGAAATTGAAAATGAATTGAACAAATGTTTTTGTTCATTTGAGAAAATAAGATGAAGAAAAACTTTTACGATTTTAATTTCAATACACGAATTACCTTTGTGTGTAAGATGAATTTTATTAATGAATGTTGTTGATTCTTGTTCAATTTTGAAATCTGTTGGATTGTTGAGAATATCTTTTAATCGTTTAAGTTCTTCATTGAAAAATTTAATCTCAATATCAGAAAAATCATCTTCTTTACGACATTGAATAATTTGTTTTGTTAATTGTTTCAATTTCATATCAAGATCAGTCACAAATTTAATAATACATGATGAAAGTTCAAAACGAATTTCATTTGCCATTTGTTGAATTTTTTCAATTGATTCGATTTCCCATCTATCGATTTGTTTCATTAATTTATTTTTTTGTGGTTCACTTTTTTGTTCGTCAATTTTGATTTTAACTTCATTGAATTGATCCTCACATTGACTTAATTGTTCACTCAATTCATTACGATGTTCAGCTATATGATCGAAACAAAAATCTTGAGAACATCCACTACATTTCAATGTGTTTTTGATTTTTTTGCATTTAACGCATGAAGTTTTGGCAGTTATCGTAGCCATATTAAAATCTACTGTGAAAAACAAGAGAAATGAATGAGAAAGGATTGATAAAATGCAATAACAAGAAGTACTTGGTTTTTTTTTTCCTTTATGTCAATAAAAGAATTCTTTTACCATTAAGATATCTCTTTGTGTCCTCATACCAAAATTTAAAAACCGCACATCAAAAAACAAAAAAAGGAAATATTTTTTTTTCTCGACCTGTTATTTTGTTTCGTTTTTTTTTCCAGAAGAATTGATTCCCTTTATGAGTATTATTCAGGTTTAGAAGATTTAGGAATAGTTTTTCATTGGTTTGAAAAAATTTCATTGAAGAAAAAAAAATTAATGATGAAATTTTGTTTGACAAGTAGAAAAGAATTTGTTGGTTTCAAATAAGTATATAGATAGCGTAAATTTTTATTTGGCATTCGTGACTGTTTTCTTTATTCAATGTTTAGAACATCTGAAGACTATGCAAAAAGTTTCAATCATATATCATGACGTTTGACAGGAATATTCATCAAGGAATGGTCAGAATCGCTCTATCCAAGCTTATTCTGAAGTACAGGCAATTCAAAGTTCAAGTAAATAATTTTTTTTCGCCTTTTTTCACATAGTTCAATCGAGTTTGAGCTGCTAACTATGAAAAATTCGAAGGGACTCGTTTTTTTTTCAAAATGTACAAAACTCTCCCCTTTCTCCTGAGTATAGAAAATTTGTTAAATCAACCTTCACCTCACAAATTTTTTCATGGTGGCGCTTCGAATATGATGTGTATATGTCGATTTTGTAAACATATCTAGTTTCTCTATGTAAATGATAAAGACAAATATTTTGTCTCATTCGACTCACTATATTACCAATCACAAAAGAATGATCAGTTTTGTTTTTCTTTTCTTTTCTTTATCGAGAAAAATCTTTTTTACTCGCACCATTAGCATATTAAGTGATATTCAATGTTTTTTTTGTACAGAATCTGTGTTTAGTTTTTGAATAAAAGTATTATTTGGATTCGAAAAATGCTGAATATCACCTATAATGACAATAGTACGAATAAAAACGATTTTTCTCGATAAAGAAAAGAAAAGAAGAAAACCGACCATGCTTTTGTGACTGGTAATATGGTGAGTCGAATGAGAAAAATATTTGCCTTTATCGCTTACGTAGAAAAACTACATAGGTTTACAAAATCAACCTATACGCATCACACTCGATGTAATTCGAAGCGCCATCATCGAAAGATTTTTAGGATTGAAGTCGATTGAACAACTTCTCTATACTCAGTTTTCAAAAAAAATCCCACACCCACAGTTGTTTTTTTTATAATTCTTACTTTTTAAGCGGCAAGAAGGAATCACAAATTCAATGGCTCATAAAAACCCTAAAAACTGACGCTCCTTCTATAGAGATGTTTTCTTAGATGGTAATAAAGAAGGTTATATTAAATAAAGAGCCACGACAGTCGCTAGTCCTAAACAAGAGCTTTCAAATAAAAAAAACAGTTCTTGACTTCAACGAAGCTCCTTCGAGAATTCTTAAAAGTACAATCAAAAATCTATAAAACGAGAAGAAACAAAAAACATTTTTGATTTTTTCTTATAGGAGATGAGAAAAGTGTTCAAAACAAGGTACCGATTAAAAATCATTGTTGTTTATGAGATGAGATCACATACAATTTTCTTTTACTTTTATCTTTATTTCGATCATTCTAACAAAAAGCGAAGTTTTTTGTTTAGAAGAGGCATTCATGAACTTTATTATTTTGAAAAAAAAAATCAAATTGTATTTTATATAGAAAGTGTTCTCTCTGGTCGTTTTCGAGTATAATGAATAAACACTTACTTTTAACAACACACCAGATGATTGAAACAGATTTAATAGAATCTATGTTTTTTTTTTGACATAGTTTCTCATATTGATATACAATATCATTTTTCTTTTCTTGATTTTTCAATTTGGCTTGCTAAAATTTTCTAAATCAGAAAGTAACTTTATAATCTTTTGTCACTGATATTAGAATCAGATTATAAAATTTGAAAAATCTTTTATAATTTGAAGAATTCAATTTCTATGTGAATCATGTTAACAAGATGTCTTAAAAGTCGATAAGATTTAATAACTACATAATATTTTAACAGTTTCAATAAATTACGTTTTTCTACTCAATAATAGTTCTCAAAACGGAAATAATTTTGTATATGTACACAGAACAAAAATAAAGATATTTTATGATGAAATCTTACAATTGTGAATTTTTGAAAAATCTACTGATGAAAATTAGAGAGATATTTTTTTCTGCATAATTTCATGTGCTCTATTCAATCATGCATAAAAAACAATCGTGCCGAGTCTTAATTCGGGACAAACAAGCTTTTTTGCTTTCCTCTTTCATTTCTTTTCCTTTAGCAAGAAAATAAACATTATTATCGTTTGATCTTACTCCCTTTTCTTTTTTTATACAGCGTGTCACTTCTCATGCATATCTTTCGTATAAAGCATCAAAACAAATGAATCATCGAATAACAAGTAAGAAATTGCAGTGTAGAAAGGAATGAATATATTAAAGTCAATTCTCATCTGCTGTAGAAATAAATCATTTACCTTAATTTTAAATTCATTTAAGATTTGCTACTAAATCCTTAAGATTGATAAAAGATTATTAGTAGTTGTCAATTGATTCCTTAATATGAAATGTTAACGAATTATTTCAATAATTTATATTGAATTTAGGTTTTCGGGCTTACTATTTAATTTAAAGTTTCTTTCTACTTTAATAAGGGCTCAACATGGTGTTATCTAAGCTATTTAAAGGAAAACTTCCAGCTAGCCACTAGATCAGTCCATATAACACTATCTTTTCTTTACTATAGTCAGAAGAAGATATATTTTTGTCCAAACTCATGAAGCAGTTAGCACGATTTCCCTCTAAAATGCTCAAAAAACACCGGTCTCAGTGCTTATTAGAACAGAAGAGAATTCTACATCAAATATTATTCGTCGGACGAAATCATTTAAACTTAAATGTAAGTAAATTAGATGTTAAGTAGAATGACTCCAATATTGTATAAAGTATTAAGTGATTTGTTGCTACTTAATTTTAAGAAATGAATGAGTGACTGTTGATCTTTGTTCATTAGTATTGTATGTTAAGTAAAGGTGATGAATACTTGATTTGATGCTAGATGACGAATCTTTACTATTTATATTGAAGAAGTATGTCGTCTACTAGAACAGTATTCTTGACGAAGAACTCAAACAAATATAATAATACTTGATAAAATGAATTTCAGAAAAAATTTTAACTAAAATTTAAATATTTATAGGTGTTTTTCATAGTTTTCTTTCAAATTGAGATGATGTTTTTCTGTACCATGCCAACTCAACATCGACCGAATGGCAAGAAGTGTCCGAATTATCCTTAAAGAAAAGAATCAACGTAGTGAATACTAAGTTCTTGTACATTTCCAATCAACAAATTCAAGCACATTCTATATTTTAAAGCTGAAGATAAAATTCTCCTTTTTAATAGCACTCATCTCTAAGTAGTTGCTCAATCTTCATACAATTCCTCTGCATGGAATTTCATAGTTTTATCGAATAGTGCATTCAATCTTAGACAGCTGAATTTCACATTTCTAAAATGAAAACAATTTTCTTCAATAAAAAATTTCCTCATAAAAGGAATGATTTATCGATTATATTTCTTCTATAATTGTAAAAAACGGACAAGTTAATCTTTAAATATGAAAAATTTTTCTATTAATAAAACATGAGAGTATAAAACTCATCGACTCTTGTCTTTTTTTTTTGATTAAGGACATTTTATTTTTATAGTCTCTGAAATTCCTTCTGTTTCAATAATAGAAATGAAAATACATTTTTTCGAAAATAATAATCATTTTCTCTCAAATCGATGAACTCTTTTTCATGAAAATAATATCTTATCGTATATTTCCTATTTTCTGTCAAACGAAAGGAGATAAAAACATCAATTTTTATTGTGAAAAGATGGATAACAATCTCAATACTTCACAAAGACTGTTTCTTGTCTATGATCAAAATCCTGTGAAATTCTACAGGAAACTTCGAAATATTTTGCCAATGAAAACGAAATATTTTTTTTCTCAATTCATATATTTTAAACAGCAGACCTTACCGAAAATATCTTCAAATCTAAAACATTAAAAATATGGATATAAGACTGGATCTACTCTTTACAAGAAGGATCGATGTGAGTGTTTATTGTTACATTTAAAACAAAACAAATCAATTTAAGTTTATTCAAATAAAAGTCGATATTTATCCAAAAGAAGCCATCGACTGAATTACATCTGTGTCACTTCTATCTCAATTAGTTATTACGAATTATACTTTTATATCTTCGTACATAAGAAAATACTTGTCAATACATATGTCCGAAAGAAAAATAGTTGCACTTCTTATTTTAAATCTATCGTTATCATTTAAAACAAAATAAATATATATTCTCAATCAATCAAATGCAATAAAAGCACTCTCATTAACAGATTCACACAGACTTAATTTTTGCCATTGTCATCAACATAAACTTCTAAAAAGTTTTATCATTGTAGAAATACGTTTTACAAAAAAAAAATTAATTTAATATTGTGAGAGTATTTGAAATTTTCTATCGTTTTATACGTTTTTTTTTGTCTTGTCTTATATTTAAATCGTACAGAATAATTTGAGTATTATGTAGTTTTCACTATGTAATGAACCTTGAACAAATGAACTTTTGAACGTTCATCACATATTTTTCAATCATTTTCTGTTTTTTTTCTCAAAGTAATGAAATTTTCATAGATTTTTTTTGTCAATCTCAGTATACATACATTATACATTCAATGAAAATTAGTTTTTATTTATTGAAAATATCGTTATCCTTTATGCAGAAATCCGTAAACTAAGTTTAAATATTCACTTACAATCATTTCTTTTTGTAAGCATATATATATATGAATTCATTTTAGATCAAGATTTTTTCATAATAAATAATA